TAACCTGCAAAATTCTCTTTCAAGTATAATGGAGAAGTGAAATACTGCCATGACAAAGAACAACTTAAGAATTTCATGATGACAAAGTCAAGCCTACACAGACTACTGAAAGATGTTCTAGAGAGGGAGCAAAATGATCACAGCCCCATGAATGAGAATGGAAAGAACCCACCAAATAGGGCAAACAATTAAACACAGAAGAATAAGAGGTATACAAAAGCAGTCTTTCAGTTATTCTTTTGTATACAACAGCAAAATATTGCCATAAGCATACTCTACATATGGACTTCTTCTGCACCCTATGGGTCATGATTCTATCTGGGTCTACAGTGTGGATATCAAGGAAATAGTAGTACTGTCACTCAGTCCCACAAGTGACACCTAGGCACCAGTAAGCGTCATGGACATTATCCATGTCCACAACACACTAGAACTTTGTGCCATATCCTATCCCCAAACTGTTAGAAGTGCTGGTCATTCATTTGCCATTCCAGCATTTATCTTGTTTTATTCTTAGTAATTCTTTATTATCATGAAGTAGTTATTAGTTCATCTTAGTTCAATCGTTTTGAAACATTTAATTTTTAATTAATTAATGTTTAATTTTCTGAATATTGCTTAATCTTAATTTTTGTTTTAAGATTTGTACTGCATCTTTGAGTTACAATCTACTTAAAGGACATGGCATGATATTTTCTAGTATTAGAAACTTTAAAAAGTATATTTCCATTTTTCCATTTACTTTATATTACTTCTTCCTTATCTTTTTCACACACACACACACACACACGAAAAAATTTGTATAACCCAACATAAGATTGATACTGTTTTGTAGAAATCTTTGATGATCTTTTAAATGGGTTCTTCTAGTATATTTTACAAAGTCATGCATAGCTATCATTTTCAGAGCTCTTTATTCTTTATCCACAACCATACAGCAACTTCTCTTGCCTTCTGAAATATGCTCTTTGTTATTTCCTATATGCTATGTCTGGAGGTATTAGAATATTTCAAGTTTGTATAACTAGAAAATATTTTGCTTTTAGGTTTCAAAGGTATGTTTGCTAAGTATAAAATTCAAAGAGCACAGATCTTTTTTTTTTCTTTTCTTTCAGTACTTTAATTAGTCTAGTTTCTTACACACTTGGTCTTTTATTTTTTCTTTCTAATATGGAATAAGATGCTACTTAATTTTGTTCTTCCATAGCTAATATTTTTATATATATGCTTTGATGATTTTTTTCTTTACAATAAGTTTTGGACAACTTCATTTTTGTGTTTCTTTGTATGATTTTATTCAAATTTCTTGTGCAAAAGTTCATTTTTCTTGGAAATGTGATGTTATAAGTTCAACTAAATTCAGAAATTTTAAATCTTTAAATATTTATTGTCTGTCCCTTTCTACTTTGAAAATTCTAATTATATAAATATAAGTTTCTTGATTTTGACACAGAGTGAACTATTATGCCTGATCTTTAAATTCTTTTTCATTTTTATTTTGGACAATTTTTATTGTTATATTCATTTAAGTTTGTAAATGATTTATTTACAATGTGCAATCTATTACTAATCTCATGCTATGTATTCATTTCAGAAATATTTTTCTAAAATTCACTCTGTCTATATTTTATATCTTTCACAATCAATATTTGTCTACAATTTTTAATATGATATGTAATTATTGATTTTCAATAAAGTTAATAAAAAAATCAATCACTGACCTAAAGTTATGCTATACTGTTACTGTAATAAAATCAACATGGTACTGGCATGGAGACAGACCTAAAGATCAGTGGAACAGGTTAGATTATTTAGACACAAGTGCAAACACACTCAGCCACCTTATCTTTGATAAAAAGCCAAATCAGGCTCACTGGTATAAAGAGAGCATCTTTAATAAATCACACTGGAAAAAATGGCTTTCCACATGCCAAAGGCTAAAATTAGTCCACTGCCTATCACTATGCACAAAGCTACAGTAAAAAGTAGTAAAAAAATTTAAATACTTAAACAGGAACACTAAATCTTCTGGACAAAATATGTGCATAGTAGACTTAAAGACGGGGTAGGTAGAGCATTCATGAATAAAAGCCAAACTGCAAAGGAAATACTTCATATAATTGGGGCCAGCGAGATAGCTCGGCTGACTAAAGTGCCTGCTTGGGTAAGTGCAGGGACACGGTTCCTTTCCCAGAGCCACGTGCCATGCCAGTCCTGCCCCAAGGTTGCGATGAGCTTGCCATACAGTCAGGGCACAGTGGTATATGCCTATAATCCCAGCACTGGCGAAGCTGAAAACAGGAGGATCCCTATAAGTCGGAGCTGCATAGTGAGACCCTGCACCAATCAAAACATTAAAAAAAATAGAATCAACAACTGGGATCTCATCTTTTTGGAAAGTTTCTGTACTTCAAAGCAATTATCCAACAGAGATAAAAAAAAAAAAAAAAAAAAACCTGGGAAAAAGTTATGGCCCACAGTCCCTCAGACAAAGGCCTTTTATCTAGAACATACAAAGAATTTTAAAAAATCAGAGCCCCCCAAATTCAAAGACCCAATCCACAAATGGGCATCTGAGATGAATATACACTTCTCAGAGGAAGAAATGCAAATGACAAGTAAATATGTCCAAAAATGTTCAATATCATTGGTCATTCAAAAATTGAAATTAAAACAGCACTGAGACTCCATCTCAGCCCAGGAAGAATGGTTAACATCAAGAATTCAGACAATAACAAAACCTGGAGAAGCTATAGAAAAATTGGAACCCTTTTTTATTGTTGGTGGGAGTGTGGAGTGGTACAACCACTTTGGAAATCAGTGTGGAGATTCCTTAAAAAGGTAGGATTGGAGATTCAATTTGAGCCAGCTATTTCCCTCCTGGGTATTTTTCCAAAAGAACTGAAAACCTCATACCACAGTGATATATGTGCACCCATGTTTATAGCAGCACAATTTGTTATAGTTAAATCTTTTTTCTTTTTTTTTTTAACATTTATTTATTGTGTGTGTGTGTGTGTGTGGCCAGCTCAGCCCACCAGGGGGCGGGGCTGGCTGGCATGTGGTGCTGGGGGATTGAACCGCGGTCCCTGTGCTTTGCCAAGCTTGTTCCAAGTAGGTGCTTTAGACCACTGAGCCATCTCTCCAGCCCTGTTATAGTTAAATCTTGGAATGCAGGAATTGGTTGGCCTCAGTAAAATCCATTCTACAGAGGGATAAACGGTAGCAAGAATGAGGAAAGGATAGGCAAGAAGACAAAAGCTGGGTTAGGTGTTAGTTAGTTTGCCTGTTGGCGAGAGAAACCCAGGAGGAAAATAAAATAGACACTTATTTATACTTTTGCAGAGTTAGTAATATGTGACACAAGGTTGCCTAGTGACTAATAGCTTACCTTAACCAGACAGGATGTTCATCTCAGGATTGAAGTAGCTTGTTTGTTTTGGGTACTGAGGCCTACTCCTGCCTATATACATTTGGCCAATTTTCCAGCTTCCGTGGCACCCAATACTAGAAATAACCTAGGTGACCATCATCTGAAGAATGGATAAGGAGGGTGTAGTATTTTTACACAATTGAATATTATTCAGTTGCAAAACAGGATAAATTTGAGTCTTTTGTCAGTAAATGGATGCAACTAGAGAACATACTCTTAAGCGTAATACCCACATGTGGAAACATCGTATTGTCTCCTTAGTTTGAAAACTTAAAAGAGGAAAATGGAAGCTGAAGGGTACAATAGATACTAGGCAAAGGGAATGAACTTATTCAAAAGGAAAGAGTTACTGAGTTGAGGAGAAGGACAGGAGAGGGAGTGAGGGAAAGAGATTTATCTATGTATGTAAGAAGGATGGTTTGAACAACTATACTGTATATTTCTACTGGTCTAACGCAATTAATACTTCAATTTGTTTTTTCTCCTTTTCAATTGCTTCATTTTGTCTCTTTAATTTCTTATGCCTTTCTCTCTTTTTTTATTTCTTCTTCCAAATTTACACGCATATATCTGATAGTATGAATAACTGGTTGGAAGAGAACACTATGTATTACAAAAAATACTGTAAAATTTATATTACTTGTTCAGTGAAATTCTGTATCACTTGTAATTTTTCTGTTTTAATTCTATCTTGTAGTATCAATAATTATAACAATAATAATAAATAATAAAAAAATCAGAAGTATTTATGTTTCCCTTCCTCAACACCAGGCAGTACATTTATGTAATAACTATATTTTAATCAGCACCTATTTATTTTTCTTACCTTAAAGTGAGTAAATAGAGAGATACAATGTGTGAAAGCAGTGTGCATTAAACCAACCATCATATTGAATACTTTTTACTTCTCATAAGAACAAGCCATCCTTCAATCCACTGTGTTCAATCCTTGCATGCACTTACGGCCCTCTGTCACAGTGGTTTGTCCTGAGTGAACTAATTCTAGAACAGTCTTAACATATGGCACAGGGGGATTGCCATGTGTGATTCCACTTTAAACAGGAACATTCAGGAAGAATCCACTGAATCCCGTGAAAGTCAGGAGATTTGGGGGGTGGGTTCTGGAGGATGTTTTACAACCCAGAAGAGAGTTTAAAGGGTATTACAGTAGAAGAGAACAAGAGGGTAATACAGGACAAGAGGCTAATACAGAAAAATTAACAGGACGCTAAAGGACACTAGGCTGTAGAATGAGTTTTGGAACAGATAAAACACATCAAGTAAAAAAGACCGAGGCATCTCTGCTGGTCAGGAATAAACTCTGTTGAAATGCAGTTTAGATAGGTCAGCATTCTGTGGAAGGCACTAGACTAGAAGTCTCTGGGTTGCAGTCTAAGATTTAAGCTGCACTTACACCCCTGTTGATTTGTTTCGGTTGCAGCTGTCTGTCTGTTGTCACAGCCCCCACGGAGGGCACGAAGCAGGAGCAAATCAGTGTTGAAGAAGCTGGCAACGAACTGTCCAACCAGGGGGCAAGGGAGGCGGGCTCTGTTGCCTGGCGCTAAATCCCAGGTCCTGAGCCCCTGCTGAGCCCCTGCTGAAAACCGGCAACCCTGGCTACACGGCGTTGCTTTATGACTTCTGTGGGCCGCAGCCCGCGTTGGAAAGACCCTGGAGGAACCTCAAGCCACGCAATGGTAATAGTGTGGGATGGGTGCCCTGGACAGAACAGAAGGGAATGCGATGTTGATGAGATCAACCCGGAAGTTGAGGGAACCGCAATGGCCGACAGGAGCTTCCCTGCCTGCTCCAGGGTCTGAGTTCTTCCTGATCTCTACCCTTGGTACCCTCTGGACCTCCTGTCTTGGCTGCAGATCCCCTATTTTGGGTTATGTCTTTGCACAGCTGTCTTGCGAACCAGCAGTGCAGTCTCGCGGATCGAGCTCACTGCCAAATCTCCACCTGTGAGGAGATAGTTTTGGGGTGACCCAGCTTCAGGTTCGGGTTCATTTTGAAGGAGCTATGTTGTGCTGGTTCCCTGTTCTCACCCAGCCCACCAGCTGATCTGGTGGATATCAGTTCTATATGTGTTTGTGATACTGGTTTTTAAATCCTCAATTTACCTTCTCAGGTCAGTGCGCCTTCAGCAGTAGAGTGAATCCCCAAATTTCCAGGACATTCCCACACTTCCATAGCCATGACAGTTGATAGTTAATGCCCATAGAGTCCAAGGTAATGGTAACTTCATATTTGATGGGGCTTAGTACTGGAGCACTTGCACGCATGCCCTCATTTCCTGTATTCCATAAAGCAGTTCAAAGAACTGATCATCTTAATTGTTATGATATCACATCTGATAACAAGTGTCCTATATATGTGAGGACCTGCCATAGAGTTTCGATTGCTGAGAAAAATGTAAGTGATTTTAATATATTAGCAGTGGCTGGAGAAAGGACTCTTTCCAAAAAAGGACGGAATGTTGAATGAACTGTGTGAAACTCGTTGAACTTGAGTATGGACATTTACATGTGATTTGTTATGATGGAAAGGGAAAGAAATATCCTCTCATATCGTTGGTATAATCCTTGGACTGTTTGTAGGCATTGTTTTAAAAATGGAAATCCTGTATATTAAGGAATTCTTATATTAAAGAACTACTGGGGTAGCTCTAGGGATAAAGCTGTACATGTGAGTTCTGCAGGAATATAAACTCTTAGGAATAAACTTTATGTTTGTAGGGAGAAGCAAATAGGAAGAGAAAGAAAGTGGCAGAGTGTGGAGAAGGTGGTAAGATCCAAACTTGTGTGAAAGAAGTTGTACCTTTGAAGTCAGATTTTCCTTTGTGTGAGCATTCACTATGCCCTAGCTCATTCTGAACATTTGTCAAAGATCACAGACCTGAAGGAAGGTGAATGGGTCAGTAAACATTAGTTATGTGTTCTGTTAACACTAATTAACCTAACCATTTTTTATGAAAAACTGGAAATTAAAAATGTTGTCTGGGTTTAAGCCTAAAAATTATTGGATACAATCACCTAAGTGTGATGGAAAGGATTTCTCCATCATACAAAAGATTGCAAGTTGTGGTTGATGTTAATATTGAACAGAAAAAGGAACACAAGCCTTTTTCTCTGAATTACATTTCCCACACTTTTGAATATTTTGTTTTTAAATTTGAGACCAAGTCTTACTAAGATTTACGGGCTGCAGTGAATTTTTGATTTTGTTGAACCTCTTGCAATTCTGAGAATACAGGCATATGCCAACATGTGTAGCTAAGATAGGGTTTCTTTTATTACCACTATTAAGTGGCATTGCAATGCTTGTTTAGATGAATCTTCAGTGAGGCCTGTTGTATCCACCTTTTATCCTAGCAAGTTGGGATACTTAGGCAGAAGAATTGAAGACTGAACCTAGCCTAGAGAAAGGAGAAGACCCAGATCAACAAAAAGTATATATAAATGATGGACAGGTCTAAATGCACTGTAGATCTCCAAACTAAAGTAACATGTGAAATGTACACAAGGCCCTGAATTCAATTTCTAGTACTACAGAATAAAAGAAAACTTACTTTGTTTTTTGAAAGTTGTTTACACACTAGTGGTATGGTATAATACTCATTGGAGATACTGAGCAGCAACAGTGATTTTGTGCTCTGTCAGTAACAGGACACCATGCGAAAGCAGTCACAGAGCTTCTCTGGAGAATATGAATGTTACTGGGTACTTTTCCTGTGTTGAGCACTGGATTAATCATCTTCTGATGTACTGACCATGGGTGGGAGTGTTTGGATGGAGGAGTACTACTCTGGGATTTGTGTTAGTTTTGGTTTCATTTGGTTCAATGATTGGTCACTTATATACTTTGCATTATTGAAAGGTACACAGAATTGTCCAACTTGCTTTATGGGGACAAGGCAATAGGATAGAAATAGTTAATAAACAGACGCAGGGCTGAGCAGTGTAACCACACTCATCAAGCGTGTACAATGCTGAACATATTTCCCCTCCTGTTTCTAGTTTATGCTGATTCTGGGAACCAATCTATCTGCCTTAATCTTCGAGATAATCTTTGACTTTGTACTTCACCCTATCTTATTTTCCAGGGCCTCTTCCGTGCACTTAATGGGCTGAAGTCTGGTCTGCGTAGCACTGTCACTTCCAAGACTTGGGGCTCTTTTTCCTTTGCAGTGACTTGCATCTCCCTGGGGAAAGAGGGCCATGAGCCTTTGCAAGTGTGCCACATGTGGGTGGAGCCTGCAGTCCATGGAATTCTGTCCTGTTCTGTTGAGTTCCCCAGATTCTGTGTACAATTCTGTCATGTTGGTGTCCTGGAGAAGGCCCTGGGAATGGTCTCTCAGGAAAGGCACAGCTGACACAAAGCGCAGAGCTCCAGCTCAAGCCACCCCTTAGTCTGTCTCTGCCTCCCAGTGCTCAGTGTGTGTCAGCATGGTCTAGCAGGGACTAGATCTGATTTTCACTTTTGTGGCATCAGAAAGTCATTGCATATGGGAAGACCAGAAGAGAGAGTTGGAGTACAGCCTGAGAGTGATTTGGGTGGAGTCACCAGTTGGTTTTCTGATGCACAGGTAGAGCTGGCAGCTCTTGGGGTCTTCTTTTTCCCTCGTCATTTAGAAGCTTATGTGTGCAGCGCAGCTACCAAGTCATAGAGTTTCAACCCCTGTGAATTTATGCTTCAGAAAACATGCAGCTATAACCTAACACTGCCTTTTCTACAGTTATGGGCAAGCTGGCTTTTCACGTTCTGTCAGTCATGTAAGCGACATGGGAAACATCTTCCTGCTCTAGAGGTAGATTTGAGAAAATACCACAGATGCTCAGGAGCTAGTGCCCAGAATGCATATCCATTGAAACTCTGATAAGCACCATCTGTAGGACCACCACCAGTAGGCAGTAATTTCTATTTCTCATTGTCACCAACACCAGAGAATTTCTACTTGGTGAATTGTGTGGATACGAATTAAGATTCATTTCCATTTTTAAATTTTTTTGTATGTCCTTTCTCTTATGTCTTCATTTTTCTCTTTCCTATTTAAACTCTTCTATAAATTTTCTGCTTATATTTTGTGTTCATATTTGTGATGAGATACTTTTTAAAAAATAAATCTTTTGTCTATATCTGTTATTTCTATAGAATGACAATATGTTCTGTAATTTTCAACAGCAGGTTAATTCAATCAAGGATTTTCTTTGTTGAACAAAAGTCCTAAATATTTCTGTTTTTATTCTAGTCAAAGTCACTTTACCACTTATGGCTTTATAAATTTATATCTGAATTTTATTTCCACTCCTAGATGAGAAATTTGTTTTCTTATAATTTGTTCTATAATTCAGATTTTAATATTTAATGTTTTTGTCATACATCTGAATGGAGTCCATGTTTTAATGGTTGTGATTTAAAAATCAGGTCTACTTGGCATATAAGCTACAATTATGAGCATAATCAGATGTTGAATTACCCTTCCTTCTTCGTCTATACTGTCAGTCTTAGGCAATCTCAGTTTTAAAAAAGTGGAAGTATTTCTTGAGTTTTCTTGTGCGTTTTATCTGTCTACATGTTGTTTGATATTCAGACTTAAATCATTGTAACTTTATGGCCTTTCCCAAGAAATGGAAGTGGATCTTTCTCCCCTTTATTTATTTTTTTAGGAATTAAATAGTAATGTTCTGTCATTTTTTTTCCAGAAGGGAATCTAGAAGACTTTATTATGTTCATAGTTAATTCAGTGGAATCATAAATATAGTATGAAGGATATACTTGCACATATTTATAGTATAGCACACCAGCAAATCTCAGCCTGTACCTTATTCTTTACATAGGAAGATCATGTTCCTCAGTTATTTTCTTCTGTTTTCTGGAGATAGGATCTCACTCTTTAGTTCAGGTGGACCTTGAGCTCTTTCTGTAGCTGGCCTTGAACTTGTGATATCTGTGCCTTACCTGGCATGTGACATTGTGTTTAGCTTTCAGATTTTATGTATGTGCAGGATTTTTTCAATATGTTCTCAGGTGTTTTGATTTGTTTTATTTGCTACAGGATCTTGCTACATAGCTTGGACTCATAGTGATCTTCCTGTCTCAGCCTCCCCAGCACTGGCATTACAGGCATCCACCACCACACCTGGTTTCTGTGGCTGGCTGGCACAGGGCCAGCCTGGCATGCAGTCCAGGAATGGAACCCAGGTTCTTGCACTTGTCAAGTGGGTGTTTAGACCGCTAAGCTATCTCCCTGGCCCATGTTGCTGGATTGTAAGAGTTCATTGATATTTTATACATTCATAGGCACAGATGCTCTTCATAAGAATCCTTTCTTTGCACTAATATGTGAGGAGGATTTTCTTCTAGAATACAAAATACTGACACAGATTGAGAAAAGAAGCTGAGTGGAACATCCATTATCTTCTTTTAAGGTTGATATTTGAAGTCTCAGAAATTTTGTCAAACTTCTAATTAAGTGTATTTTTAAATGAGGTATTCTGAAATGTTCATCATATTCACATGTTGTAGGAATATTGTTGCACTTTTGCTTCAGTAAATAGTGAAACTTTTTTTTTTGTTTTAACCTGCAGTAAGTTTAAAAACCTGTTTTTAAATCTAAACAAAAACCCATTTGTATTCTCTGTAACTATTATGTGTATGCTGACCTTGAGAGACTTGAAAGTTGTTTCTTCATAGA